GAAAAAAACATAGTGGTCGTAAATTACAGTGGTATCATCACATGTCTAATGGCACAGTAAGTGCATTTTGTTGTATAAAATAAAATATGTATTGTTCACTTTCAAACAAAACTAATGTATGCAGATAACATTTTTAAATGAAATTGGTCGGTTTGACATTGATGTTACAACATTCCAAATGGCAGTATTATTTGCGTGGAATCAAAGACCAAAAGATAAAATATCTTATGAAAACCTTAGATTGGCTACAGAGTTGCCTGATCCTGAATTACGACGGACATTATGGGTTAGTATATTAATGTTTAAATGAAAATTCTTGAACTTGTTAACTGAGTTTAATTTTAAAACTAAATTGTTCTAATTACATAGTATATTAATTGGAGGATTATGAAAGTTTGGTTTGTTTTGTGAATAGGTTAATTGCTCTGATTTATCTGGTTTTAATTATATAGGAAATTACATTTTTTATTTAACTATTTATATTCTACAATAATTAATTGAAATTTTCAAGGAAGAAATTTGATTATGTGATACATTGATGCGTATTATTTTCAAAATCGATCGTTACATGATATACTATCAATCCATATTGATTCATATCAAAATTTAACCTTGATTCAAATAGTTTTAAGTATTAACATCAAAGATATTTTTTGAAAATCATGGACGTAAAGAATATTCTAAATATTTTTAATTTGTAATATTTATATACTATATGGAAATTTGCTTAACTAAACTAATGTATAACAACATGACGTGATATGCGGAAGAAGACCCACCAATGTGGAAAACCCTCTTAGACCTATGTATTTGGKTTGAATTGTAGTTGGGATTTGGATGTTTTGAAAGTATAGTGCAAGGAATTTGAAAGAATTTATCTGATACTATCTTATTCTTATACTTCTTATATTTTATTTGGAGGACAATATAAATATTTTTTCAATGCATTTAGAGATTTTGGTTATGGAGTCTGAATGTGTTTAGATTGTTTAGAAGATTGTTATATCGTTGGTGTAAGTGGCTATTATTGTATTTTCAGAGTGGAATATCAGCTGTGTAAATTATGTAAAATTSTGGTCATGAATAATTTGTTTGAGGTACTCCTGCCTTGGATTTGGAATTGTGACTAGAAGAAGTGTTCTTTCAGGACAAGGAATAAGCGGTTTTGTAGATAAGATATTTGGACAAGTAGAGTGGAGCCAGACAGAATTTTTTTAATCACAAGCTTGTGATACATCTAAGAAAACTCCCAGTCAGAAGTTTATGCTCTCAAATGATCAGGCTATTTTGTCAAAAATTTGGTGGATCTGTTAGGTTGAAAACAATTTGTTAAGTCATAAATAAGGGTTAACCACAGGACCAACAGTTGTTGCTAATAAATTAAATTTTTTTTTTTAAATTATACCTATTTTTCATTAAGAAATATAAAATAGATAATACATATCGTGTAAATATATATTAAATTTGTTATTGTTATACAGCCACTCTTCAAAAACTATTTAAATACAAATTGAAATCAATATTAATTTTATAGCTCTGATTATATAAATGTGTTTCAAATTCTGATTTTTGGTTTAGCTATTGAGAACGTTTTTAAAATATATAAGTTATAGTTACTGTTATTTTGTTAGAAAATGTAAGCAATATTTTTAACTGGATTCAAGTACCAAGCATAAATATTAATTTGACTTTAATATGTAATTTTTGTGGTTTTTAGTCACTAGTTAATTTCCCTAAATTAAAAAAACAAGTGGTGTTAGTAGTGCCAGAAGTACCATCTCCAAAAGAGTTCAACGAGAATACAATATTTTGGATWAATGAACAGTTCTCTATAGTGTAAGAGTGACTTGAATTACAATATATTTGATAACTTTAATAAATATGAAATTTTGGTGATAAAAAATTTTTTTTTAGTAAAAATGGTAAAATTCAAAAAAGAGGGAAAATAAATTTGATCGGAAGACTACAACTATCTACTGAACGCAGTAAAGAAGAAGATAATGAGTGTATCGTTCAATTACGAATATTAAGAGTCCAAGTGAGAATTTCTAATTTTGTTAGATTGAGTCTTGTATTAAATAAGATTGTCTTATTTATTTAATATTTTTCTCTAGGAAGCGATTATTAAAATATTAAAAATGCGAAAACAAATATCGAATTGGAATCTTCAGACAGAATTAGTTGATATTTTAAAAAATATGTTTTTACCAAGTAAAAAAATGATCAAAGAACAAGTTGAATGGTTAATTGAACATAAATATATGAAACGAGATGAAGATGATATTAATTTGTTTGTTTACATTGCATAATTGCCAACCTTTAGTACCATATCTGTGATACTACATAAAGCTTTTGTGTAAACAAATTTACATACCAGTTAATGTTTGTTTTCATAATTTATTTATTTATTATTATTATTTTTTTTTACCAAAGATGTTGGATGTAAATATTTATGTATAATTTTATGTACAAGGTGTGTATTGTAAATACTAAATAATTGATTCTAATTAAATTAAAATGATCAAGTTATTTAATTATTAMAATAAATATTTTCATTAACTTTTTCCCTTTTGGATTAAACATTAAAATAATCTGGTATTTTTATTTGGTTAATCATGATAATTCATGTGAAATATTTTATACAACCTTTATCTCAGAGTTACAACATTTAAACAAAACTCTTGGTAAAAGTAAAAAATTATGAGAATAAATAATAAATACTTATCATACTTACACATTTTAATTATTATTTTTACACACTATGAATTTATTAAAAATTTAAAAGTTATGTAATTAAGTAATTTTATTAACAGTCTTAAAGAAATAAATACTAGAATGATTAGTGATTTTGTCAAACATACAACCA